ACGCTATATATATCTAATAGCATCCGCAAAAGTATTTTCATACTTTTTCTTGGCCTTTTTGAAAGAATATGTAAAGAAATTTATCAATAATTTTTCCATTAATAAGTTCCATTTTTTATAGCATGCATCGTTCCAACATACATAAATTAAGAGTTCTTAGAAAATTTAAAAGCAATAGGCTACACTACTTAATATAACTGGATTGAATCTTCAAGATATAATATTTACAGAATTTGCCAAACAGAGAGTATGGAGAGAGATGTTGTAAATAAAACGCTTATATTGCAATTATTCAGGAAAACTAAATGAAATTTTTAAAATTAAACACAGGCTTAGTATTATCAAATTGCACTGAACATTGAATTTTTTAAATCACGCGTCTAATATTTGAATGAGAAAAAAATGCTGCATGTGTACTTGAAATAAATTAAATATTCCAAAAATTAATTTGTATTTGATAGTAAAAAGGTAATTAGTCACCAGTGGCTATTCATTTTGCTGCTATAAGTTTTTAAAAACCACTTTTCATGTTGAAAAAGTACTTCCTTTGCTAACGACCGCCTAAATATTTGTTTTCGTAGATTTCGAATTTCCGTTCAATCAATCAATTAATTAAACAAAAGTTAGTAATATTATGCAAACACAAAATAAGGTTTCATAAATTGATATATTATTGTTCACATACTTCTTTTTGTTACGTACTAGGAAACACAATGTAACAATTAAAAAAATGGGTCATGTATATAATAAAATGCACCCACACAATTAAAGACTACTAAACAAAATATATTCTAAGTAAGAATTTTCTCCTTCAGTCGCATAGTTGAATATTTTGTACTATTATTTACATTTATATAGCATGCATTTTTATACGGATTTTCTTCCATTTAGAAAAACTTTTTTTTTCTTTTCTCGCGCCTTAGGAGACGATAATTTACAGAAAATAATTTTATAAAGCATGTCTCCATCTTATTAAAAAAAGAAAAAGGGCAAAGTTTATTTTAAAAAGAAAAATCAAAAGTATAAATAAGACATCCGAACTTTCAATTTAATCTTTCTTTATTAAATTTTTGCAGAAGCTAAATTTCAATGGAATTTTTGCTTATAATCAAAAATATTTGCTTAGATTATGTCACCAGAAAATTTATCCTGTCATTTAAGTTCAATGCTCTTAATGCTGATTTAACTTCTTAAACTGAAATGCAAAACTTTCAAACTCCAGATGAATACATTCATTTATATCGAACAAAACAAAGAACATACAAACGAGAATAAAATAATGATGGAGTTTTAGAGCACAATTCTAAAATGCCTTGAGAAAACAAAACAAAATCCAAGAAAAATACTAAAAACTTTCTGTCACTCGATACAGTCTTCTAGAAAACTCAGAAGCAGACAACTGAATTCTGATGCCTGGAAATAAATTGCATTAAGTACTTAGGGATCACTTTTCAGCGGCAAATATCACTTAATAAATGGTGTTTATACTCATCCAAGAAAAAAGTACCGGGAAAACTTAATATAGCCTGGTAAAAAATATCATTAATCCAATAAATCAAATGCGTTGTTCATTTTCAAAAAAATTATTCGAGGGGGTAAATAGTACAAGGTTATTGGATTTCAAAATGAAATATAACTTAAATATCAATGAAAAATGTCTTATAATACATGAAAATGAGATATATTGAAAATAAACTGTATATTTATTTAAGATTGTGTCAATTTTAGGGGAAACATTCTTTTTTGTGCTTATATATAGTACAAAGAGTACAGATTCATTTATTACGCTGGATAATTTGAGGCATATTACAGTAATAAATTCTTATAGCTTGAAGCTTAAAAACTTATATTTTAGATATCTGACAATATATTCATTTATCAATCATCGTCACAAATAAAATTGAATATAAGCAAATTGTGAAAATAATTTTAGAGAATGCCCGATATATGTAAAACGTCTTATTGAGAGACTTAATGTTCATTCTGTGTTATTTGTGTATTTTGTTTATGTTTAAGGAGGCTTTAGGATCGACCCCACTAGAAATTTCCGTGGGTCTATATACAGAACCTTTGAAGCAAAGATCAAGTTAGTACATAAAAGAGCTCAGTCGTGTGCGTTGCGTACGTTAAGAAAGATACTGGAAGTTATTGCTAGAGTGTAAATGCTTATGCAACCTTTTCTGAAACGTTGCAAAGCGTGCTTGGAATGAGTGCAATTTTCACACATTTTTGTCCTTTCCCTTTAATAAATCTGTTGTTCAATAAGCTGGAGTCGTTGGCTGGTATTCCCCACGTAAATTTTCAAAAATATTTCCATGGTATGCAAAAAATGTTCTAATAATTGTTAATTACAAATTTCTTTGCTCAATTATTTTAAATTGGTTTATGGAGGAAAATTTTAGGTTATATGTTAAGGAGAAACTTTTATTTTAGTAATAACTGGTATCCATCACGTGTGTATCTTGGTCTAAATATACTCATTAACCAAAAATTGAATTATTTGTTACCGATATCTCGTATATGATTGAAAATATTACATTAAATTTAATTATGTAGAATAAGATGTAAAAAGTCAGAAGTACATGGCATTTTTTCCCTGGCAAAATCATTAAATATTCCGAATAATATGCTTACTTCAGCAATATAATTTTTTGAAAAACATTTCTCCATTCTCCTTTTTAAGTGTAAATTTATCAGCAGTTGTTAACCAAAAATTACTCTACAAGAGCTACCTTAAAGCTACAGTCATATGCTTACAAAATATATAACATCAATGCTACTTTGCAGAAAATTCAAATTGTTTTCCAAAGTTTTTCAATTTGTCCTCCTGAAACACAATATAGATTGAAATAACTTTAATCTTAAATAATTCCATGGTAATTAATAATTTAATAATTTAACTTCCATTTAAAATAGCCCCAGTCTCTTAAATTATGAATTAAAGCGTAACAAAAGGAATTCCATTAGGAATTAGATTACCTATGGGCTCGATAAAAGCTGTCATCAAGACTTAACTGATAGAAGTACCAATATGTCATCTTGGTGTAAACTGATAAAATTCCCGAAATCTGTTCTATAATATATCTCACTAAATTGCCTGCAACTGTCGATCAGCAAAATTCTCTTAATTTTAAATCGACAATACGGTTAACTATCCCGTGGGACAAAATTCTGATTTTTATTAATTTTTACCATATGGGATTCTGGGCTGATTCCTCAAGTGAATCAATGTCTTCTTGATTTCTGCCCTTTTAAATAGTCGAAATTTTTAATGAATCTCCCAAGTGTATTGAGAATGCATCTATTTCTTTTTCAGAGTAGTTCCTAATATACGTTTAGTTTTGTGACAAAGGACTACTTAAGTTTTGTCAATTTTATTTTTTTACAGGTCTTTGTTAGAACCTGTTACATTCTTCAGGGTAAACTAACCCAAACTTTTGCAAAGTTTGACAGCGAAATTTTTTGTCGAGGAGGCATAAATATGAAAGCAGTTTCATTAAATATATCTTTTATTGTTTAAATAAGTATAAAGTCAATGTGATCGTTACTGGTGCAATCAAAATAATAAGTTGAATGTTAGAAACATAGTTCACAGAAAAATAACATTACCAGACTTTGGTCAACCGATTCGAACCTTTCCTTCTATTGTCTAACATCTAATAGAACTGAAAAAGCGAAGCAACAAACCAGCTGCATACGTCTAACATGTCTTCAGTCGAAGAGCTTAAACCACTTCTCACATTACGTTTGAAACCCACGATCATATCTCAACCAACTTCTGTCTCCTTAATACTTACACGAGCCAAGTATAAAAATAGTTAAATTTGCATTGCATTTGTTGCAAACCTCAAAGCACGAAACTCGCAAAAAGCTCGGGTTCGAATCCGTTTGTTTACTAGAGATCATGGTGTGGGGTTGGAAAAACTTAAGGACACCACAAGAAATCGGATCCTAAAATAAATTTCTGCATGAATCTTTTCCAAATGTCTAACAGAACCGGTGTCGTGGGTGAGGGGCAAGTATTATTTTGACTCGAGAAATTGTGGAAGTGGATGATAGTGGAGGGTCACACCTTTTTAAAAATGTTTAGTAAACTTTAAATCTCAGAAAAGTTATTATTGATTTTAATGGTACAATTTATTCGTTAAATAAATATTGGAGGTTTTATTCACAATTTGTTTATTGTTCTAATTTCATATCTAGCTGCACACACAAGAACATTTAAATTTAGAATCAGTTTAATGGGACAAATGAACCCTATATCACGGTTTTCTACAATCATTCAATTCCTTCTATTAGTTCGTTCTCCCCCTATTTATAAACATATATATGTAATGGCTTCTTCTAACTCTTTAACTTTACCCCGTTAAATTATTTCCTAATTCTTTGGCACAAGACCGTTATAATCTTAATCTAATTGCTCACGCGCATTTGCATCCAATCACGACTCCTGTTGCAAAAGAGTCGTACGACCCTCACCGCCAGTGTAAAAAGCTCGGAGCCTTCGGTTGCTCTCTCTCTGTGCTTTGTCTGTCTATTAACGATGTGTCCGCGTCGCTGCTGAGTCTTGCTTCTGCTTTATATGTGTGTGTTAACGTCCATAAATTATGTAGATGTGTTTGCACTTGATATATTGGTGATGTTCAATAAACGAAAGATGAACTTTATAGTGGAGAAGTATTCTATCAAAATATAGCTACCTTTAGACAAATTCTACATGTAAAAAACAACACCGGCCACGCTACAAAAATCTTCATCCAAGTTCGACATCATTTTATATGTTATCTCTCTCTCTCCTGTTTAAATTTTCAATCGTTCATAAATTACTTTCTATTCATCCATTCAAGTTCAAATACATTTTTTAAAAATTTTGTAGAAGATGACACTTGATATTAATACAGTTTTTTCAAATATCAATTCAGCAATTAAATTAAAAATAATAACAAGAGCACAAAAAAATAATAGTCCAACATCATATATAGAAAGGAAAATTGTTCGTTGTTTCCCTGCAGCGCAATGAAAAGCGTGTTGGATTTCTAATCCAAAGGTCATGGGTTCAAATCCCATCTAGAATAGCCTAATTTCTGAAAATGTGATTTCTCTTTTACTATACTATGTTACTAGAATTAATGTTAATTAATGAATAGATAATAACAAACAAAAAAAGCAGTCCAACATCATACATAGAAATGAAAATGGAAAATTGCAAGGGAAATCATTCCTATTTTGTCACTTAATATTGTGATTGTTTCATATCTATATACATGCTTATTTTAGTTGTAACTATTTAATAAAAAGTAGTTAAAATAAATATTTTTCCTTTTTTTTTCTTATACAGTAATCGACTTAATTTTTTTTTATATTAATTGTTTTTAAATCAGAAGTGATGTTGCTTGTTGATATTCTTGCATGAAAAAACTTTGCTCACAAGTATATGTCGGCCCAATAATAGAACATTTTCTATATTTGGTTTTCTGTCTCGGAGGGCCACAATTTTTTTGGCGTCCCAGCTTTTTGTATTTTTAAGAATGAAGCATACATAAATAATAATGCTATATAGGAATATTTATTGTGCACGATGTCTTTTGAGCAGTTAAATCAGTCATTTTATTTTGTATAGAAATATGCCGCAAAAATACTATTTGCGATCACATAACTTCGTATAACCAATGTATAATAATTTTTCTGTTTTCCTACTTAAGGTTTTACTACTTACTGGTTGCGACAACTTTTTTTTTTTTTAAAAAAAAAGGAGACATGGAGATTTTTTGTTATTTTTAGATTTGTTTAGTGCATTTTAAGAAAAATGTGCTAAAATTAAGAACAGAAAAAGAAATTATTATTACTAAAATGAGAAAAAGTAGGTAAAAATTGACAAAAAATAGCAAAAACGCGGCCCATTCTGCACCAAAGGTTTATGAACAAATTTTTAATTTTTTTCAATCTAATGTGTTGCTATATTATTCAATTTTGAAATGATCTTCAGGATAAGAGATATTTTCTTTTTTTACAAAAACTAGAGCACTTTATCTCAGTTACTATATGAAAATGCTTAAAAAGAAAGTGATTATATTTACATGAGGGACTGTACATTTTGTAATAAAACAGTGATTGATAAATCTGAAGGTTAAACCAATTCTACTATTATACAGAACAAATTTCAGTTAATTATACTCAAAACCTTCTTAGAAATCGCTGACCCCGTTTGATTATTTTCAAAAAAATCACATTTCGAGTGAAACGCGTTTTAAAGTATGACATCTTGCTTAAAGTAATGGCATCTGCTTTTACTAAAACACTTGTAGTTTTTGTTCTAGTAAACGGAAAATGATAAACTTGGTACTTTTATAAAGCTAATAAGATGGCACATAAAATAAATTAATAAAAAAAATTGTCAATTTTTGGCAAAATTCACATTTTTAGGGTAGTCGGATACATTAAATCAAAAATTTTGTGACTGGAATTGTGATATTTCTTCAATTCTTATTATTTTCATTGCTGCTTAAAATAAAAAATAGAACAATTAAGTGAACTTTTAAAGTGTAATTAAGTAGAATATTTAAATCACACAAAATATTCTGTGGAAACGCCTAAAAAAATAAAAAGTAATACCACTTCATTCGAGATATTCGTAATATTGTTCAATCGCAATTTATTAAATTGGAAACGGTAATTAAGCATTATTCCATGGGAATTATAAACAATTTTAGGGGAAAACAGTACAGTTCAATTGACAAAAATCGGTCAAAAAATCAAATCTAATTTTTTTTAGCCTAATTTATTTTTATTTAATTCTCTACCAACTCACAAAATTTTAAAGCTCTATGTTTAAAAAAAAAAAACAGAGAGATGTGATAAATTTTATGTTTGTTTTTATTCCCATCCCAATGGCAAATCAAAACTTTAAACTGACTTATCTCGGAAAGATAAAATAACTATTTTGTCTTCATTTAAAATGCCAAGGCTTTTTTTTTCTATCGTGCCTAATGCTTGGAATTTTTTTTTCACTTGTTGCTAATAGTACATAAAATAAAAGTTGGTGTGCATTTTTCAATCAAAGCAATACTTATTTTTTAAAAAATAATTGAACTCAGAATTTATAAATTTCTTAAGGAATTTACAATAATCATTCATAAATAGAAATATTGTACAAATACTAATCATGTTATCACAAAACTCGTACCAACCTTTGTTATACATATTGGGACGTACTTATAAATCAAGTTTCATATATGTACGTCAATTTTTGTAGGAGGAGTAACACTTTAAAATCACTTCAAAAGTTTCAAGTTTTTCCCTTAAAAAATTAAATGGTTAATTTTTTATGAAATTTTGAGCACAAAATCTTTTTTACATTATGCATACACATAGGAGGCAACCGAAAAAATAAGGAAAATTATTAAATTTAAAAGAAGTGTAAATATCTTATCATGTCCCCTTTATTCTAATAAATATATTTGAACTCTGAAAGAAGAAAATATTGTAGCATAATTAATATTTGATTTTTGTAATGGTATGAAACCTCTCTTCACATTCTCCACATATTTTTAAAGCTACTGTATTTTTCGAAACTAATGAATTACCGCAATGAGAAATATTTCTTCAGAAAAATGAGAAGACTGTTTCATTTCATTATAATTAAATTATTGAATTGTTTCCCGGTGAAAATGTGTAAGAATACGCTAATTGAATATTTAAAAAATGAAGTAAATTAAGATTGAAATAAGTGGGAAAATAATGAAATGATATCTATCATGTAATTTTCAAAACATTAAAGCTTCTCTTTACTCTACATTCCCAATAATTCCAAAGTAATTAATGATTTATTTGTGTGATAAAAGTTTCGCTTATATCTTCAAGTTTAAGTAAAGAGAAACGAAACTTGTCATGTAATTAGTTTATCCCAAATTGCTTTTTTCATTTAGAAGTAAAACTAGTCACTAAATAATATTGAACAAATGAAATGAAAAATACCTTAGAAAAATGTAAAGCCAAGGTATTATGTTGAACGAAACGGTATATTAATCTGTTCCCTTCCTTGGATTAAATTATGTTTTTTAGCTTAGTAAAGTATTAATTACTGATATCCAGCATAGAAATAACGAATATGTATATATGTATTTACTTATAGCCTGGAGAATCCACTAATTTTTATTTTTTACAATCTGAAAACTTCGAAAAACCAAAAGTTTGAGTTACAAAAATGATTTTGTTCAATCATTAAAATGATAAATTCATTTAGCAGGAAAGATTCTTAGAATTTCTATTAAACCAGTCTTGACTTAAAATATAGTTTTCTTACTTTTTCCCAATGTGGCCATCAAGCAAAAATAATTGCCCAACCTTGCCTTATTTAATATGATTAAAAGGCCCTTATAAAGAATTCGACTGATTATATAACCCTTTATCTACCACATTATTACTTAATGGACTTTTTTTTCATGCAATATTTATTTTGAATCAATACATTAAAAATTAAGGGATATACATAAACAAAATACTCAATGAGAAATTTAATCCGTTAGAGCTAATTAATTAACTTAAAGATATTCCTGTAAAATTAATTATATACACTGTTCATTTAAGATAATAGACAAATCGTTTTCTAAGGTCTTCATTAACATACAAAAAAAAATAAAACACCTTTATAAATTAACTACTTTTGGGGAACAAAATGACACACTTCGCAATTCGATCAAAATGAAAAAAGCAACTTCTGCTACAAAACAATTCACCTTTCCTGATAAAACACTCAGCATAGAACCCATGCTGCCATATATCTTAGAAGAGGGGATTTAAAAGAATATTCCTGCTAAGCATCGCCAGAGTATTCCTAAATCTGGTTATTCTATGTAATTTTAAAGTGATGGCATTTAAAAATACCGTCGGTAGATAAGGAATTAAGAAAATTATGGAAGAACATGGATTTAGCGAAATTTTGTAAATATTTCTTCTAATACCTAACGTTAAACAAAACATCCACAGTCAAAAATGTAGCGGAAAACGGAAGAAAGATCTTCATATGCAAATCAATGTTCATAACGTCAACAACTAGAAAAAATATATAAGTTCAGAGATAGTGGTTTCGTAGAGGCAGGGGTTTTTAGTCGTCTCAGGGGCGAAAGTTAATTTTTTTGTTGTTGATTTGAGGAATGTTGACTGGAAAATGGGACGATAATGGGATTTACCGTAATTTAAAGCTTGGCATATTATCAGGAGACAGAATCTGGGCAAACACAAACAAATGCAGCTTACCTGTTGGAGTGGCAAGAAGTGTTGTTGTAAAACTCTGAAATCGGTTCTAAGAAACAGGGCAGGTTGGACGTCGACCAGAACAAAATCGTCACATACTACCACAGAAAAAAAGTGAGACAGAATAGCAAATTTCAAAAATTTACCTGTAGTTAAAATTCATTATATTATGTATTATATGAAGCATTTTCAAATAATGTAATCACAAGCAAAACTTAAGATAGTTTAATGAAATAAAATACATATGTTTCAGATGTAAATAACTATGGGCTTTGAACATTTTCATAATATATATGTATCTTTTCCCAATATTTATCATGAATGTTCCTAGCAGTACAAAATATGTAAAGCGCATTTCAAGAAAAGTTTAATAAAGTATGTCAATATCCTCTTCTATGGACAACAATATTAAATCATGGATCTCTAAACCGTAATTAAGCTGATTCATTTCAGCAAACGTTGTTTCCATATAACTCGCTTTCTATCGCATTTAGTTTCGGTATTTCGTTATTTAATGTAGTGTTGCATGGACCTCTCTTGTCGAAGGTCAATAATATCCTACCTGTTGAGAAGTATTTATATTTCGGACTTGCGCAAGTAAAGAGATATAAATACTGAAATAATGAGTGTTTCTAAGGTTTAGTGCAGCTTACGGAATATTCAACCGACTGAAATGATACATTATTTAGATGATTATAATTTTTAAAAAAATACTTGAAATATATGATTTAAGAAGTTTTTTCCTTTTAACTAAATCGCAACAGTATTAATTAGAATCAAATCAAAGAAAGTAAAACTTTTGAAAATAATTAAAAATGTTATA